TTATTGTTTTAAGAGTTGTTTAATATGGGAAGACTATTATATGACTGTTTTGATCATGCAATTTCTCTATTAGGTTGCTTGAATCAAAACTGAGGCTCTATGCAAGTTTCCCGTGTTGAAAAACTAGGAAAACAACTTTCGTCAGTGCAAACAGGTCGACCGGTCCGGTCAACCAGTTAGTGAAGAGAGGTCGACCGGTGAGTTATAACATCTCTGTCACCGGTCGACCGGTTGTAACGTAAAATGCATGCTGACGTGGTAAAATCGACTCTGGATGTGATTAGAACTTTGGGAAACCTAATTATTACGGAAGTATGACTTCCTAAACACTATAAATAGCCTATTAAGTCACATTACTCATAAGATCACTTGAGAGACTTCTTGGAGCCTATTGATAAAAGATTCTTGAGAGGAAAAATTGTTTAATTCTCAAGAACAATTTTTTCTTTGGCTCTCTTGTGATTGGAAGGAGATCAAGAATACCAAGAAGAGATTGAACGACGTGTGCCCACCCACACTCCGATCGTGGAAACGAGAATAGCAAAGAAGACCAGTTGGTTGAGGCTCTTCCGGTTGCTGTTTGGAACGCTTTGATATGTCAGACGTGCAGTTTCCTAAATCTCAAAAGGTATGATTTAGATCTTTAGTATTTATGTTATATAGCATCATGAACATGTTCTTGGTTGGCTTTGACGTTGATTAAATTTTTTAAATTCCGTTGCGCACTCGATGCCATCATTTTCTAACAGTCGTCAGCTGAGGTCTCGAGCTACGAAACTTGCACTCCAAGTTATCGACTTTTACCCAAGAAGGATCAAACAAGTGAGGTTAAATCGGATCGTGACAGCAAAGGATTGAAGGATCAAACAAGTGAGGCCGAATCTAATAAGGATCAATCAAGTGAGAAGGAAGAGGACGAATTGATGGCCGAGATTTGTAGGGATGTGTTGATCGTACAGTGCATTATGATAACTGCCAAATTCACCTTTAAACATATTGAACAAAGTGACTCAAAAAAATTATTAACTCGTTTAGAGGATGATAGATATGAAATTGAGGTTTTTTACAAACGTATGAAATTAGCTATTGAAAAGGCAAAGGAGTCGTTGGCTAAGCTCCAAACATCAGAATATGATGTGTTGGATATTCAAGAATCTATCGATAAATACCTATCTCCTATAAATTGAAGATGCATTGAACAAATATACAGCGTATGGGGCTCGAATACGATAGCAATGTTACGCAAAAAGCCATCAAAAACCTTGCCCAATATAATTCATCAGTTGAAGAACAAAGAAAAAGAATGTGCATCTATTTTAGAGGAGTATATGAAAGTTGGTACATAGTTTTTCCTCAACGATTGAGTTAGAAGCTAGTAGTTTATTTGTTTTTTTTTCATTTTTTTATGCATATATGTGAATGATCCATCAATAAATTGCAATTTGATTCATGTAATAATTTTAAGCCGCCTTTGATTACTCGAATTATGGCATGAGAAGTTACAAAGTTATTCAAGGCTGTTCTTTTGTCATTTTTGAGTTAGGTGACTTGAGTGTAAATTTTAAGTTGAGTTTGAATTATAACTTGAATTAAAGTTGTAACTTGAGTTTATATTTGGTTGTATATATTTGAGTTATGGTTTGAGATACGAATATTTTTGAATTTGTGTTTGAGTGAGTCAAAACTTGAATTTGTATTTAGATAGTATTTTAATAAAAACTCAATGCTGATGGAAAATTTTAATATGGTATATGGGTGAGGTTTTATTCGTCTATTCGTTGTCAACGCATAGAAAAAAAATCATCTCAATCAGAGTTAAAACGAAAAAGTTATAACATTTTGAAGAATAGAAAAACTACTGTTCATTAATTTGAGTTTGAGTTTCTGAACTCGAGTTGAAGGGAAAACTTGAACTCGAGTTTTAGTCCCAAACTCGAGTTCAAACTCGATTTCAAACTTAAAAGAACATGAACTTAAATAAAGTTGTAATTCGAGTTGCTTTTTAAGTTTTTAACTCAAAAAATGGACTGCCGAACAGCCCCTCAATCTTTCATTTTTTTATTTATTATGAGCCAACAAAATTTTGGTATCATTGAAATTATCAATGCTCCAAATTTTAATGAAATTTCGGGAAAAAAAATATGGATCATGTGCATTTGGAAGAGAGATTCGTCTCAAAATTCGAATCATGGTTCGTAACTCGCTACAATATTTTTTCTCACAAAAAAAACACATAAAACGAAAATAATTCTGACTCATAATTCTAAATCTATAAACTAAACGTCGATACAACGATAAGAAAATGAAGATTTATTTTAAGACAACATTTATTTATAATGATTGCCAAAAAAATTAATAGTAATAATAACAGTAGTAGTAATAAAAAGAAACCAACTGCTCTTAGGCCTTAGAAATGCAGAAACGAATCCAGATGAGGTAAAAAAAAAAAAACCGAAGATTTAGAAATTTCGGAAAAGGTACAGACTAACGTTGTAAAATCTGGTTCCAGATCATCATTTTAGACTCTGTAAATTGTCATACAATTAATAAACTCAAAATTATATAATATGTCAATGCTTTTGTTGTGTGTCAAAATGAATGCAAGTACGCAATTTCAATCATCTGCATCTGCAGATACAGAGGAATGATGCGGAAATGACGACCAGACATCTTCCCAAGTCCTGCGACCCTCAGTTACCTCCTTGACAATGGCTGCGGCCTCTTCCACATCGACACGTATTTGATCCTTGCTGTCCCTCTCCCTTATCGTCACCGATGTTGTCGAGTCCACTGTGATTGCAAACGGTACACCGAGTTCATCAGTTCTCGCATATCTTTTGCCTATGGAAGTACCTGCCAAAAGAAAAACATCAGTCACCAGTTACCCGCAAAAGTACAAGCACATAGGGCCAGTTTTGGAATTGCATTTGTAACTCTTATAAGTGAATATTAAAGAATTTCACCATCTGCCATTTGGTAAACCTGCTTTTGGCCAGATTATGAACAATCTGAGAAAGCAGCTTTTCATAGCAGTATGTTTGGTAAACAATTATGAAAGTGATTGGCAAAGAATTCAACTACTTTTCATAATGGTTATGAAAAGCTAAAGATTCAGGCTTTTAACTTCTACCATTGGCAGATCATGAAAAAAAATATTTTTTTTTTTTATTCTTTAAAGAAACACACCGATTCCAAGTTGGCCCACAAAGTGCAACAGTTATCACTGTCCACTGATCATTCAGAGCCATAAAATCAACATTTTCATAACAAAATATAAGAGATTGATTAATCATTGCAAGCCACAATGCAGTGAAAGTAAAAATAATAATAATAATAATTGAAGTATGTGGATACATCAATGCATTTATGTGCTCCATTGTAATCAATTTAATAGGCCAAGGAGAGAATCTTTTATTACAAACCTGTAATGTCAATCTTATGAGAGATTCCAGCCGCAGTCAAAGACTTGGAAATGTCTTTTGCAACATTCTCATACTGTTGATTCTGAACCAGTGGGAAAACTGTGCACTTAATAGGTGCAACGAGTGGGGGGAACCGAAACACATTTAACTGTTCATCCCCGGCTTTGCTTGGTCTCATGTAGTAAGAGTGCTCATAGAGGCAATATATAATGCGACCAATACCAAAAGATGGCTCGATTACCGATGGTGTGAAGACTCTTTGGTGCTCTTTCTTCTTCTCCTTTGAAATCGTCACCATGCTCTTCTTAATAGTTATATTCTTCTCAAGAGTGCAGACATAAAACTCCACCTCTCCTTTGGTTTCTAAATTGGCTTTCATTTCCAAAGCTTCTTCTTCTTTCATTGCCTGAACAGAAAGCAAAAAAATGCATAATATCTTGCCAAAAATTCACTACATAAAACTACAAAAGGAAGAACCAAAAGAAAAGCTAACTGAAGATTCACCTCCAAAGCTTCAACAACATTCTTTTGGCTCCCCTTGAACGCAAGACCTAGCTCTTTCTTCACCGGAATCACAACCAATTTCTGAAATCCCACGTGCACCATTAATCAAATAAAGATGGCCAATATCAAGAATCATGATTGAAATAAATAAAATGAAGTACAAAAGAAGAGTGATCAAAATATAGCATTACCTCCACTTCTCTGGGCTCTGAAAATTTTTCAGCAGCAACAAGTGCAACGCCACTTTTTTCCTGTCGTGAAAAACAGAAAATCAACATTCAGTGAGTATGTAACCTTTGTCATAAGTGGACGAAAGCAGGTTATGGATTCAAATCTATTTTTTGTTCTACTACTACTGTTTTGATGGTATATACATGTCAAAGGTTCTGCATACAAATTCTCTGCAGCAAGTTAAATCTTACCATCTCATCACTATGTAAATATGTTTTATATTTCTTATTTGAGCTATAAAAAAAAAAAAAAAAAAAAAAACGGGGACAAAGTGACAGAAAAAATTATGCAAAACCATTTTGGTACAACATTAAAATGCTAAAGTTTTTAGAGAACAGAAAGCAATTACTTACTGAATGAGCACGTAAATCATATGCAGATCTATCTGCAATACCGACACACTCAATCCAGCCATAGGACGACTCAATCTCAGCATCCCAACAGTCAGCAGCATAGTGAGCCATTTCATTAGCAAGGTGCTGGCGGAACCGTAAATGGTTTTCATGTATACCAAGACGAGTAAGGAAAAGATATACTCTCCCAATGAAGTAGCCAAGAGTTTCATTGTTAACAATACCCTAAGTGAGATTCAACAATGTTGTTTGTCAAATTCTTGAACACATAGGAAAATCAAAATACACAGTGGGAATAACATTAAAAATTGACATGAAGCAACCTCGGCAACTGCTTCACCCAATCGAATTATCTTTGCAGATTGGCCAGAAGTTTGTTCTTTCCTTGGGAACATCAGAAACTCGAGATTTGCAACTTCTGAAAACTTTGGGTGAGATTTGTCCTCTGGATCAACAAAGTGCTCAATCTCAGCAAGTGTGAACTCACGAACTCTCAGAAGGCCTTGGCGAGGTGATATCTACAGACGTAAAACACAAAAAGAGCCGGTGGTTATAGTTTCAGACGAAGAATGTGCCAGATCTCGCATGGCTGCATTAGGTCAACAGCATAAGTATTGATCACAAAAACCCACAGTACTAAGGAACAGAAAATGTCGAGTACAGAATATTCTTTCCCATTCTGTTAAGACATGAGAAGGCCAAATGCCAGTTTTGGGACACCATACACAATGCTAAAAGAAACATTTCCAAGCAGAAAGACCCGTGAACATGCTCATATGCAATAGAGAAGTATGCAATAAGACATGTTGAGTATTAAGAGAGCACTTCAAACCTCATTTCTAAAAGCCTCGCCAATTTGAGCAGCAGCAAAAGGGAGTTTGTTCCCATTGTAATAATACAAGTCTTTGAAGTTTACAAATATGCCTTGAGCAGTTTCTGGCCGCATGTACCTACAGCAAACAAGATTTAAATATAACCTAGTTATCAAGACTAAACAGGGAAAATAAATAAATCAATAAAAACCTCAAAATTGAATCAGTACCAAAAGGCAACATGCTCACCCAGGGCTCAAGCCAGATGGGCCAATCGATGTCTGGAACATCAGATTGAATGGGTAAGGATCCGAAAGTGGATTCCTAGTGTCCGGAGCTGTGATGCCATACTTTCTGATTTTCGCACCAAGCTCGTCGGATGACAGATCATCCAAAGTAGCAAGGACATGTCTCAACTCAGCAGCAGTCTCGGCAGAAATGGTAAGGTCCTTCTGAAGTTTTTCATTGCAAAAGTCCTTGAGCAAGTGATCAGCCCGGAAGCAAGTACCAGTTTTCTCATCCTTGACCATAAGATCGGTGAATTTATCGACATGCCCCGAAGCTTTGAGAACAATTTCAGGGGTCACTGAGGGACAGTGCACTTCCAACATGTTCTCCTCAAGAACAAAGTGCTGCAACAAATTAGGAATTCACTCAGTACTCCATACAAAAAGAACTGAAATAAATTCAATAAAACAATTTCCAATTCATCTACGAATTTCCATATAATCAAAATTAGATTTAATTCAATACTTCAATATCAAACAGAATTCAATGGTCCAGTCCAATTAACATGAAAGAAATATCAGACAGAATTTATTAGGCCTGGTTTGAAATTCAATGGTCCAGTCCAATTAACATGAAAGACACGAATATCCAGCAGGTATAAACATATATACAACATATATGTACATATATAGACTGAATCGAGAGATAAACAAACCTGACGCCAAAACGCAAGAACATTAGACCTAACAGCGCAACCAGGCGGACCGTAGTCATAAAGCCCGGCGACGCCGCGGTAGATCTTGAACGACAGAATGTAAAACAGACGACGTTCCAAAGTGTTGAGCACCGCCTGTCGGAAAGCCTCCCTGCTGACAGCGGAGCCATCGGCGGCGCCGGTGACAGCTGCTTGGAGATCCTTCTCGATGGAAGCCTTCTGCAGCTTGAGCGCATTGAGGGCTTCGATGGCTGTTTCGACGTCTGGCTTGGGAGCGCCAGCGGCCTTGAGAGCACGGACGCTGTTAGCCTGCGCTTCCACCGCCGATTGCTTATCGGCGAGCGCTCGGCGGAGAGAATCCTCGGAGGACGCCATTGATGAGAAGGTGAAGCTTAGGGCTCGGAGGTTGAAGAAAGATGAAACTGATTTGAAACCGAACCCAGACAAAGAAATGCAGCGCATGCGAATAAGAACGCAAGAATCTCTCTCTGCCTCTCGCTCACTACTCCACTACTACAATTCCACTAGGGTTTGGGTCTCAATATCCTCCGGAAAAATTTAAGACAATGCTCCTATGTATTGTTCTCAATCGTACGATTTGTATACCTTTTTATTCTGAGAGAGTTTTGAGACCTAGATAATACTACGTTTCAAGAAAAGAAAAAAAAAATTAAGATTTTACTTGTAAGATATTTTTCGTAGAAGGAAAAGGAATTTTTCTGATATTTTTTTATTTATCACAACAACCCGCTTCGAGACTTGAAACTACTCGCTCAATTCTTGGATGAATTTTTGTCTGAAAATAGGCCGGACCATACAAATTTCTGGCGTAAAAAACACGCCACATAACATAATCTTTTATGCTATGTTTGGCAGGAATAAAAGAAAGTATGATGGAAAGAAAATATAAAAATGATAGAAAATAGCAATGATAGAAAGAAAATTGATTTTTTTTATGTTGTTTGGTATGAGAAGATGCAAAAAAAATGAGTTTACCTTCACTTGTTTGGTATTAAAAATTAAATTGGGAGGAAAGAAAAAATCTTACTCGTAAATTACTTTTATACCCTTAAATTTTTTACTTGAATGTTGATGGATAAAATGGTACTTTAGTAACTTTGCTCACTTTAATGAGCTGTCTCCATTTTTCATCCCATTTTCTGCCCACTTGTGGAAAGAAAAAAAATGGTAGGGCCCACATGTATTATTTTTCATTCCATTTTCTCTTCTTTTCTCTTTTCTCTCCTACCAAACAACCTACATTTTCATTTTTCCTCCCAAAATCCCTCCACCTTTCTTCCTTCTACATTTTTTTCCTACCAAACATACTCTTAGAGTGTGTTTTGATTTGGGGGAATGGAAAAAAAATCAATATTCATTTTTATGTTTAGTTGGTTTTAAAAAAATGAATGGTCATTCAAAATAGAATGATTTTTTTATCAAATGGCTGAATCATCATTCCTTCTTCATATAAGAGAAATGTTCATTCCAAGCTCTTTTAATTTTCTTTTCCATCGTTACCTTTAAATATTATAATTATAAATATTATAATATTAACATTTATAATATAATTAGTATTATATTATAATAATTTATATTATAATGTAATTATATCTTATAACATATAATAAAATATATTATAATTATATACGTACATTATAATATATCATATTTAATATTATAATAATATCTTATATTATGTATTATACATTGTAATTATATTTATCATTATAATATAATATAATTGTGATATTGTAATAAATAATTATAATAATAATTAGGATAGTAGTATTTTTTTATAAAATTAAATATAATAATTATATATTTTATAAATAATAATATTACATTATATTATGTTATGTTATATTATATTATATGATATAGATGTGATGTTTTCAATAATAATATGATAGTTATAATAAAAATTAAGATTTTATTATTTTAAATATATAATATTATAATTATAATTAGATATTATATTTTATAATATTATAATTAAGTATTTATATAATTACAATATAAATTTAATATAATTTCTAATAATATAATATAGTATAGTTGTAACATTATAATATAAAATAATCACAATATTATTATTTTATTATATTATATATTATAATTATATTATAATAATAAATATTATATAACTATAATTATAATTATATATATTATATCCTTATAATTATATATATATAATATTAGTTATTAAATGATTATATTAATATATATGATATTAGTTTTATTAGTATGAGGGGTAATTTTGTCAACATGAAAATATTAATTTCTCATTTCATTGTATTTGTAAAAGTAGAACTAAACAAATGAATCATCTTTCATTTTCATTTTATTCCATTATCATTCTCATTGCTATTCTCATTACCATTCTCCCACTACAACCAAATGCACCCGTAATTGTAACACCTTCCAGAATTAAACATGTTTAATTATGCTAAATTGTGAGTTATTAGTGTGCCTAATTTGATTTTTAAAATTAATCAATGAACTTTAAATTATTTTCAGGATTTATGATTTCGCCCTAAAAGTTTTTGAAAATACACTTAAATTTTTAATGTATTTTTCCCTTTTTCCCTTTTTCTATTTTCTTTTTTTTTTCTTCCTTTCTTTTCTTTTTCCTTTTTCTTTTTTTTCTTCTTTTCTTTTTTTTTTTTTTCCTTTTCTTCTTTCCTTCCCGTGCAGCCCAGCCCCTCTCTCTATCTCTCTTTCTTTCCTTCTTTTTCTTTCCTCTCTCTCATATCTGGTTCCACGCCCACTGCACCTCTCTCTCTCTCTCCCTTTTCTTCCACCGCCGGCCACTTCCTCCGGGCTCTCTCTCTCTCTCCTGCCGGTTGTCTCTCTCCGGTTCCCTCTCCCTTTTTCCGGCCGTTTCTCTCTCTCTCTCTCTCTCTCTCTTTCTCTCTTTCTCTCTCTCGGCTTGCTACCAAGACACACACAAAAAAAGGAAAACAAGAGAAACCAAGGGAAACAAGGCTCTATCAATTAATTTGAGGTAAACCCCCTGGAAACCCACTATTTGATTTGAATTTTACACTTGAGAAAGTTTAATTTTTGTTAGATTTGAATAATTTTGAGTTAGGGTTTGGATTTGAACAATTATTGTTAGAATTGAATTAAATTTGGGGGTTTTCAGTTATTAGACTTGTTAAATTGATTGGAAACTGATTTTGATGGATTCTGGAGAATTTATTTTGAAATTAAACTTGAATTGCAGGTTTGGCATTTTTCCTATTTATGCTGGCATGCTGCCGAAATTTCTTTAAAAACTTATTTTTAAACTGAAATTAAATAGGAAACCAAACCCATGAATTGGATTTAAATTTTTAAAGAACCCCTAAACTGAATTATAAAACCGTTTGTGAAACTTGGATTTGAGTCAAGGCATACTAGTAGGAAACAATTAAACATGATTGAGCTCAATACGTTTTAGGAATGATAAATATATCCTAAGACACTGCTTTTGTGATAAAGCTAGTGGATAAGATCGAGTATTAGAGCTTTAAAGCTTTCGGAGGTCAAGGTGACGAGAAGTTAGCCACAGGTTTGACATCCGAGAGGTAGGATTTTCTTACCCATTTTCTTGTTAGCCTGTTTTAAAGTGTTTTGGCCAAATAATGTTTTCAAAAGATAATAATATGTTGATAAAGAAAAGTATTTTCAAGATAATAGCTTGATTTTTGGCTATTGATCTCATAATGGATTGATTTCAACTTTTAATGAACATTTTCGTAAGATAAGATACCTTGCGAACTGGTAAGCCCGTTGATGCCCTAGATAGGATATGGAGATAGTGCTGGAACTTTGGACGAACCACCCGAGACCGCTCAAAAAAATTGAGTTTTTGCCCGAGCCCGACCCGCCCGAAAAATTCGGGCCACCCGCCCGAACCCGAATTTCACCTTGAACGGCCCGCGGGCTTATATTAGGCCGCCCGAGCCCACCCAAGTAGCCTGAATTTTTTTAAATTTTTTTTTAATATTAAGTTATATTGTGTTAAAATTTATATATATATATATATATATTACAATTTGAAATTTGAAATGAACACACGAACTACATAAAAAAATTATTTCTTTATTAATTTTTAAATTTGTAATTCATGATTGCCTCGTTAAAAACTTTACCAATAAAAACCCAATTGGGATAAAAACTTGGCAAGAAAAAAAGAGTGCAATCATTTTATGACGAATTACAAATTGTTCATCGATTCATTCTTGGCTTGCCGGTGAAATTGTATCTTGTAGACGTTGATCGGCCCGATTCCAATCCTTAATGCAAACCAAGGCTTCAACAATATTCCTTTGCAATGCATTCTGGCATTCCTCAAGTATTCTTCCTGTCGTATTGAAGGCTTGTTCGGATGAAATAGTGGAGACTGGGATCGAAAATATATCCATTGCCAATCGAGTTAGGATTGGCCAAGTTAGTGCCCGTGCCCTCCACCATTGAACTAAGTCAAATGATTCTGCCGTACCGCCGACTACTAAGCCTTCACTGAGGTACGCCATAAGATCGTTAAAGCTGCCGCTGCCACTGCCACTTGTTGATGAAGATTCACTCACAGCTTCTGTTTGAGTTGTCTTCTTCTTCTTCTTCAACCTGAAAATATTCAAGAATGAATGCGGGTTTTCGTCTTGTTGTTGCGGTTCCTGTACTTTACGAGGTACTCTAAACCTAATCTCATATTTACTATAGATCAAATATATTTTTTTCTTTATTATTGGATATTGGTCCAAACAATTAATGCCTAAAAATTCACCTAAGTTTTATAAACCACTTTCTAAACCTTCTAATTTTAATCTAGGATAAAAAATAGTACATAAACCATACAACAAAGGCAACTTAGACCAATATTTTTTAAATTTTTTTTCCATAGAATGAATAAGAACTCCTAAGATTGGGTCCTCCCTATATTCTCTAAATAAAATACTAATTCTTAAAAGTTCACCTAAAGCTAAAGGTGATGTTGGGTAGTATGTTCCACTAAGTTTTAAAGTAACTTCATGAAACCTACCTAAAAATTGATACAAAACTTCGACAATTTACCAATCAAATTTGTCTATATGTCCTACTCCTAATTTTGCACACATATAGTTTGGTATGGCATCCTTATAGGGGATGCATTGTTGAAGCATAATGTAAGTTAAGTTCCATCTTATAATCATATCTAACGCTAATACTCTAGGAGGTATATTTAATGCTTGTAAGAACCTAAACCAATATTCTTGTCTTTGGTTACTACCTTGAATCTATGCAAGACTATCTCTAATTTTTTTAATGTGATTACCCATTTCTTTTAAACCGGATTTAACTATTAAATTGATTACGTGACATGCACAACATTGGTGAAAAATTGTACCATCACCGAATAAACTTAAATCATTTTCAAAGAACTCAATTGCTTTTGTATTGGCACCAGCATTATCTAATGTTATAGCCATTACTTTATCTCTTAGTCTAAATTCATCAATTACATATAAAATTATACTATATATTAAATCCGTGCTATGTGATTCGAGAACACATTTAAAACATAATATTATTTTATCTAAATCAAATCCTTTAAAGTAATGTCCGGTTACAGCTAAATAATTTTTGTTAGCAACGGCAGCCCAAATATCTGCCGTTAACGCAACGCACCCGCTAGTCGAGTGTAAAAGGTTTATTAATGCTTCTTTTTCT